CTCTCTCTCTCTCTTTACTTACCCTCATTAGCAAGAGATAATTCTTGATTAATATCCTATATTCGTTACTCTTATTCAGGATGTTTTTGGTTTTGCTAATTTCAATCGACTGAGTGATCTTCCGCATATCTGTGAAGTCACATATCTGGCAAAATTTTATGATTTAGACCACTCCATCTAGTGTCCTGTAGTGACCACAAGTTCAGCCAACTCCGATCTCTGAATCCATAAACCTATGCAGGTGGTTCTGTGTTCTGTGTTCTGATGGCCTCTTATGTGTCGATCGACAATTCTCCATCACATAAACACTGCCACATGAGCACAAAACCTTATAACAGCCTGCTCTGCAGAGGGCTAAAGGTTCTCTAAAAGAAAGCATGATGGAGGAAAGCGTTAGTGTTTCTTTATACATTGTCTTGACGTTGAATTTCCTCAGTAATTTGCCTATCTATCGTGTCGAGATTACACGCTGCACTGTCATGGTTCGAGTCCCGCTGGAGGTGTTGATAAGACATAAGCGAGGTCGAAACTGCAATCCGTCCTGGATGACGATACCTTTTTGGAAGCAAGGATACTTAAAATTCAGTTGAAGTGTAAGGTCTCTTCATATCATATATATCCCCTTCTTCGGTGATGGTAGAGAGAGGCTTTATTAAGTCCGAATCTGGCTATGACTACGACGTCTCACACACTTCAATAGCAACACATTCACACAGCACGCAATCACACGCGATAACATTGCAAGATCAAAGATGCAAGTGTTTTAAGGGAGGCTGCAGCTGTTCGGTCACAATTGCATCCGTTTAATGCCTCATTCGCAGCCACTTAACCTAACTTGTCAGCAAACATTTAGGCAAAGCATAGGATATCCAAACAAATAATGAGATGCTTCATTAAGTGGACCAAGTTGAACTATAAGTAGGTAGGTCTGAAGCCGGCCATCCTTACCTTCGTGTATTTGTCAATTATCGTTAAGCATGGTGTCCTGCTCTGATGGAGCACGTACATGACGGACGAAAGCTAAGCAAGGATTTATTGAGTTTTCATGACGGTGCGCCGAGGACCTATTTGTACAAATCTAGTCACGGCTCCAGAGTGAAAACCCTACAGCTTCCAACTTACGAATCCCTTACACTCGCCTCTTCAAACGAAATGAAGCGCACTTCAACATCAATCTATCACGGGATTCTTCGAAATCCAGTTTTTCTACATACCTACAAAGTATTTGGGTTTGGGTCAGTCTAGAGAACTTAATTGGGAAAGACATCCAGACCACCTTCAAAAAAGCATAATGTAGACTGAAGTCTATCTTAGGTTTCGCCACCATAATTGCGAAGACAATATGATTTTGGGTTAAGATTTATATTTTTATCGATACAATTAAGAATGAAAAGAACAAGTAATTAGGATGACTTGCCTTCCCTGAGCATGCCCGCTTTGAGACACTTCTGGAAGCGGCAGTGCTGACAGCGCGTCCTCTTCTTCTTGTCGATAAGGCAGTTGCCTACCTCTCGACAAACATAGACAAGCTGGCGACGCACAGTGCGCTTGAAAAAACCTTTACAGCCCTCACAAGATACAACACCATAATGCCGACCTGTCGAATGATCACCGCAAATCATGCATATCTGAACCCCACCACCAGGCGCCATAGGCTCTTCAGACGCCATAGATACAATAACCGTTGGCGCCAAGGCTGGTGCTAATCTGGCCGGTTTGTCAAGTATTTCCGGCGTGAGGCAGGAGGCGGGCAGTCCAAAGGCACCCACGCTCCCTAACTGATCGTCGGATGATGAAGGTGCCGGCACAGATGGAAGAATATAATTGCGAGGCGATGTCCCAAGGGAGGCAGGATCAAACACATTGATTAACCTGGAAAGTTTGGGTCGGAAAGTGAATTTAATAAAACTTATATATATCAAATTAAGTTACCTCTCAACTCATATGATACTTTATTCTTTCCAACAAGAGCACACTTCGATTGGCCATGACCTAAAGAAATAAACTTGGGCTGACAGAATAAGGCTCAATTCAACAGTTGATTAATTTTCTGACCTTGTCCTGCCCAGCTTCCTTTAGGTTTTAATTCTGATTCGCATACAAAATTAAAAGGAAACAAGAAATTAGAATGATGACAAGAGCTCATCGTAGTTAACATTCCTTCTCTCGCTAATGCTAACATAAACAAGTCTTATTCCCGAAAAATACCTTGAGTCTTCTACATTTGACTCTATTTAGAGTATTAGTCAGATCAATACTGCTCCAAGGGCTATTGGAACTAGCGTTAGAAGAGAAACCTGTCTTCAACTTGAATTGTTTACATTAATTTTGGCGACTTAAAGAGCAAAAATAGCAAACAAACAGGCGTCCCAGGCCAGGTCTTTAGAAATAGAGTCAATAAATAATAAATTTCATGCCTTCATCACAACCTTATTTTAAAATGCAGAACATCTTGAGAGTAAGTTAGCTGGGAGATAACTGCTTATAGTATAAGAGTAATGGGATCACAATAAATTCAATAGACCCCAGAATTGAGCCTAAATGGCTG